GTATTACCATTGTTATCAGTAAAAGCTAATTTTGATGTTGACATGTTTACTATGTATTTGGGGATACAGGTCTATGAATCTATGTTTATGAAATTTTAATTCAAAATCTTACATGCAGTTCCTTAAACTATTTTCAAAAAATCTAGTTTCAGTATTGGTGAGCAGCATTTTATTATAGTTAAAATTCTGAATATACTGTAATTCCTCCTCATAAAGTATAGTATTATGGACAAATTATCCACTTTAGTGAAGTGCACACAGTCATATTACTTAAGGTACAGTGGCTATGGGAGCCTAAGTGGACCTTACAGAGCATACTGGTGCTCACACTGCTGCACAGAAATGGGCACAGTCATTACAGATGCAGGAACAGATGTCGATGATGTACTCCTTCATGTTTCACAGGCACATGCATGGACAAGCACAATCCATACAAACAGATGTGAGATCCACACGTAACTTACAACTTTATCTACTTTCCCCTTTGCAATATATTACACACAATTGATTCTTGAGGTTTAAGCCATGTTATAATCATGTTACCTCCTCGAAAAGCATATCTGGAATTTTGTTCAGTAGAGAATGGCAATATCAGGGCTGAATCATCCAAATGGACATAATAGCCAATACCAATAGCTCTGTCTTAGGTCTATGTGCACAACAGGCTATTTCTGACAGCACTGTAAATGTCCTCCTGCCCTGTGTAGGATTGAATGTCATACTGGAAAACAATGAGCAGGCCAGTCTCTCTGTGACGGCAGCTTTCTTGGTTGTAGACATGCAATAGTTGAAGCATGTATTTTAATTTGGATGCTATCGGATAGCAGCAGAGAAAATACATTTGTGTATAATAAAATGTACAGTAAATTATTCTTGTGTGATATACGTAATGATTGGATGATGCTATCCTGACTCAATACAATTATTCTGGATTATATATATCATAATTACAATACTGAACAATATTGCTGATACATTTTGATGGATGAGAACCAGCAAGTGCCATGGACCGGCAATTTTATCCAATCAAAAACGTTGTTGGATGATCACCTGTCACTCTCACATGCTTCACAGCAAGAAGGTTCTGGTTTGATCCCCAGGTCACCAGGATCTTTTTGAGCAGACTTTGTTATCCCTGTGTCTGGATTTCTTTTCCTCTGGGCACTCCAGTTTCCCCCATCAACCCAAAACGTGCACCGTAGGTATAATCCTCCTTACCAAGCTTAGAAACAAGATCACAGAGATGGGTCCCCATGGGTGCTGAGGAGGTGCCCCAGCCGCATTGAATGATGGGTCAAATGCAGAGGACAAATTTCCCAACGGGGACAAGAAAGTGTACCTTTAACAAGAATCCATCATGGCATGTGTCTGCTGGTGTGATAGGGCCCACTAGCTGGTTGGCAGACCAATCACAGAGCAGCCTTGAGGAAAGTTTCACTTTTTTGTCTTGCTCCGCTGTTGTGATGCTTCGACTGATCAGATTCAAATGATGCCATTGTGCTTTTTCCCAGTCAATTTCAGCAACTGAGTATGTATAATGTGTAGAACTCAATTTAGAGTGCCTAACATATAACATAAAGGGTGTGAGCCAGGTTTTCATTGGCCAGTGACCAACTTGAATGGGCTGAGAAACAAAAATCTCCTTGAGAATGAATGCAACTATACTATCTAGACCCACCTCACATGCAAAGTAGTAGCAAACTCTGTTCTTGCATGAATGAATGTTATCACTGACTGTCATGATTACCACCTCAAACATGTCCATTATCCATAATATAACCATCCATAATATGTTTCTAAGATATCTTAATTAACTGCTGCACAAGTTGCACTTTGTACTTAAATGACAAAATAGCATAAAGCTTCAGTAGAATGAAGCTTGTGACATGAGTGGCCTGTGTTGACATACTGCAGGCGAATCGTCTGAGAGAAGGATGAGAACAGGACTGAAGAGCTCGCAGCAGAACGTGAGTGTTGCTATTGATCGCTGTTACCGTTGGAGCCACCAATGAGCAGGAAGTATCAGTGAATATGGTGCAAGCCCTCTGAATCGATCACCTCAAATGATACAGTCTAACACTGGCAAGAAAATAAAGAGGAACAGTAAACTAAAGCCAGCATACATGAATGAGTCCTTTGCATGTGTAGTGGGCGTCAATAAAAACACCGCAAGCCATATCTTCATTCCTCTCGGGTTATATGAAATCGTTAACCCTCAAAGCGGGTCATGGACAAACGTAAACATTAAAGCGCATTAAATCTGAAACAGAATTTTTGAAAGGCTGTCATCAAAGCCCCAGCAGGTTGTAATAATAAATTATTGAGAAATTCTTGACCTGGCAACGTTGGGTCATTCTTGTGTAATCTTATGAAATATCAACTGAGAAAGTGTCTTTGTGTTTACCGTTTCATCTAGGATCATTGCAGTCATCCTTTGGTTTTGTGTTTTTGATACTGAATACGTTTTATTAAAGGTCCTATGTTAGAATGTGAGATTTAAGCTGTGTTATAATGCTGTTAACGCCTCAAAAACATATGTGGAGTTGTGTTTTTTTTTCATTCACACATGTTTGAGTAACCCTGCATTATAAGTTTGTCTGCATCTCCAAAAGTCAGAATGCTGTTCCACCTTATGATGTCATGAAGAGGTAGTTTACAAGTTAACAGCGGCATTTTACCTTTAGTTCAGTAGAAATGGGCAATTCCAGGTTTGAAATCTAAAGGATTCTAGTGAAGGTGTATAGAGTTTAAAGAAAGTAGAGCACTTTACTACATTACATCAAAAGTGTTTTCTGTTTGAGAGAAGAACTCAGTTTAAATATGCAGGGTTTGTGTGTTTAATGTATAAATAAAACAAAACTCAACCCTGTGTATGTTTTCTATGGAGAACAGCATATAACATACATCACAGATTTTTTGCTACTAAACCTCATATGTATTCTGAATAGTACAGTCTACTGTTCTTTCTTTGTGACAATTTTAGTATAAAGTAGGTAAATTTGTGACTTTATGGTAAAAAATGCAAGGATAACCAGTGCAATTTCCAGTAGTTGCTGACATCACACAGGACAGCCGATTCATCTGTCACTCTCACTTTCTTTCTTTAGTCCTCTGTACTGCCCATTTTTGTGGATTATTTGAAATGTGGTTTTGGGCAGAGTTTAGGTGTTTGGTTCCACTTTAACCTCAGAGATGTTCTTGTTTAGTTTGTTGGGAGTTGGAGCGCCCTCAGCTGTCAGGAGTGGTAATGAACAATGAAAAAAATACATAATCACAGCCATTAGGCAACATGACTGTTGTGCTAATACAACCATGAGCTTGTTGTAAATTCAATTTGAGAGCAGTCTGGTGATGGTTTATGGCCTTAAAAACTGTGTCAGAGAATTCTGATATATTTTTTCTTTCATAACTATCAAGGAAAAATTGAAACAGTCATTTTGTAGTGGTCAAGTAAACACAATTAATGATACAGTGGTGAATGATGGTAAATGGTCACATTTTTCTATAGCGCTTTTCCACCTTCAAGGCACTCAAAGCGCTTTACAACAAGGAACCACTCACCCATTCACACACACATTCATACACCAGTGTACGCAGACACTGTGGGCAAGGTGGGTTAAGAGTCTTGCCCAAGGACACAACGGCAGCATTCATCTGTGGGAGCTGGAATCACACCAGCCAACCTGTGGGTCAGTGGATCTGACCACTCAACCTGAGATGTTTATGTTGAGAGCTGGATTCGAACCGCCAACCTTCAGATCAGTGGGCGAATGCTCTACCAACTGAGCTACTGCCGCCCTGATGCAAAAATATTCTAAGTACATTTTTTATTATTGAAAACTATGGCCTCAAAAAGTTAATTTTGCATATGTCCCCTTACTGTTGCATGTATGTAAATTGTATCTTTAGCTAATTCACAGCTTTCCCAACAGTTATGTTAGCATGTACATCACACGTTCAGATTGTTAACAGGTATTAATATCACAGTCAGCATCACTGTCACACATGAACTGCTGAGTACACAGAGTACCCAGAGTTTATTACTGGTTCAACAATAACTATGCATAAAGTGGTATATTGAGTTATCTATGATGTGTTTTTCTTTTCTTTTTACAAACCCTAAAAGAATCAAAACCAAATCAACACAACCATTTCACAGTTATAACTTTAATCTTGCTCAGTCTTGCTGAATGATGCCACAATTGACAGGATTATAATGTAAGACAGAGGTATCCAAAACTATGGCCAATTTTTGTTGTTCCCTAGCTTCCTGCTGAATTGTCCTAAATTACCAAAAGTAGTATGTTTTTACCACACTTTTTTAGAAAATATCTGCTATCATAACTTGATTAACAAACATTTTAATGCGACACTGAACATATAAAGTATGTTACACATGTGAAATACAAAACTGAATAAATCACTTAATTTACATGGCCAACCAGAACCACGCGCTTTGACAAAACTTCACAAAGAGGAGTGGATCTGGAGTCATATTGTGTCTCCCCAATTTCAGAGGGTGTGATTGACAGGTGGACCAACCAGTCAGAGAGATGCATGTTTTGTTTGTGTCAAAAACAAACATGGCTGCTAACCCTTAAAAAAAGGAGGGAAAAAAACAACAACAAAAAGGACTGTGAAACAGCTTGGATATTTGCAGAATCAACATTCGAATCACCAAAATATTACTTATCTCAGGTAAAAGAGTAATATATTTTGTTCTGACTCAGACTTCAGTCCTGACCTGGTAATCAATTCATAGTTTGGACACTCCTGTTGTAAGACCATATATTATAGTTTGATTTAAACAAATAAAACTAAACAAAACAAAATCTGGACAAAATGTATAAATGTAATGTAAAAAGTATTCATCCCAATGACATGTTGTGTGCACAAAAACAGACTAAAACCAAGAGTAAGCAGGAGAGAACTTTTTATTTGCAACACTTTTCTTCCTCAGAATCCCCCCATCTTCCCCCAAACTAAAAATACTGCTTCATTCTTGTTGGTTTAATCTCATATTTGAAACCACTCACCTCCTTTAGTGGCACAAGCACATGTAGCCCGCCCCGATGTAGCGATATTCACAGACACAATGAGAAATCAAAGAGTATATGCTCACGTACACATAGCACAACTCCACAGGTAAACAGTTAGTGCCTTTTCAGGGCTGTTTTTGAAGTTGGACAACCTCTCTTCTGATTATATCTTCAGTCCAAGGCAACAAGTCCTTATGAAGAGATAGTGTGAGAGAGTATAACAAAGGCCAGCAGTTCTCGAAGAGTCTATTCAGGTCAGTGCCGCACTCTGCTTTCTCTCTGAAGTTTTGCTGGACTCAGTATTTCTGTCTTACTTTTGTCCTGGATAACTGAGCACAAAGCACTTTCAATATCTTCCCCACTATTGATGATAACGCTCCTGCTCAGTCACTTTTTAGCTGCTTTCGTACAAATCTTTTCACAAACTTGAGTTTATGTTCCAGACAAGATTTTGGTTGGGTGGCGGAGAGAAGGACAGTTCGAAAAGCAGCACAAAACTGTACACATTTTCACGCAGAGTTCGATCTCTCACATTTTGCAGAGTAGTAGTAGTGGCAGTAGGAAGTAGAGCACACTGACAGAAAACTAGAAAAGAGAGTCCCTGTACATATTTAAAAGGAGTTGTGCCGCGTTATCTCATGTGTATGAGGCTTCATAACATGTTTAGTTTCCATGTCTATTGTTTAGTTTCCATCGCTGAGGAGATGAAGTAAAAGTGTGAGGATTAAAACTGTCTGAAGGATGAAGTGTAGGGATGATGCTCGGCTGGGCAGGTTGCTGGAGGGCAGAGTAACTGGGCCCACTGGTAACTCATTGTCCATGGCCTGCAAAAGAGAGAAGTTAGGTCTCCGTAAGATAGAACATGTAATACCAGCTTTTTTGAAAACGGGACAGTTTAAGGCCATTTCAAATTATTTCCAACACTCACACTGTGCAATTGAATCTCATATGAAGCACTGTGTTGAGCCATGGCCAATTTGCTGACCAACTAACAATGTACAAGGGACATGAGCCAGAAGAGGGGAATTTGCTGGGCTGTTGATATGTTTGTGATCCCTTTCATAATGAATATTTAAACTCAAGAAAAATCATGGAAATACATTAGCAAATCATTGGCAATGCTATCTTTTTCAGATTCATCTAAGGCTATGGTTATATGATGACGGTCTGAACAGAAGACACAAAAGCGAAGTTGCGTCTTCACTTTTTATTCTGTGTTTAGATGAGCTTTTTCCAGGGGAAATCTGCATGCATACAATGACGCAAAAGTGTGTGGAATCCCAGGTCTTGCCCATAGCCGTCTGGCTCGCCTATGATGAACTGGTGCATCCAGAATTTGACAGAGGTAATTGCAGATTCTTCTCTGTTCACTAATCGTATCTCTGCATATTCTGTACATTTGTTGGGATGCCTCCTGTAAGTTTATTAGAGCTGCCAGAGCAGCTTGAAGGTCCGACGCATGGAAATGATCTGACATGTTTGGTCTGTGTACTGTATGTATGTGTCTTAAATGTGTACGTGACGTGAGCAAATCTGACCAGAGTTTTGTGTCTTGGGCAGTGTAGATGGAAACGCTACGGCGGAGCATATTCAGCTTTTCCACTTTGGAGGGTGATTTCAGATTTTTGTGTTTTTATGCCTCCAAAACACCGTCACCGTCTAAAGAAATGGTACTTCCAATAAAATATTTTGTCGTTTTTACCCACAAGCGTTCTCATGTAAACAGGTCCCTAATACTAACAACACTGTATCCTTCTAGTCAGAAGCTATTAGTGCAAAACCTTTCTCTATCAATATTTGTCTCTTATCAACTCAATTTTAAAGGTGCACTAACATTTTAGTTGGGGGTCGGTCACCCGCTTGTTCCTACGGAGATGTCATTGCTCTACCTGTAATGTTCCACAGTATGACATTAAACATCTCTACTTTACATTTATTCAATTGCAAGTGGTTTTATTGCTCAAAAAACATCAGACCTGTCACATGGTCTGGTTTGGTCACCATGAAGATAGAAAGGTTTAATACCATACTGTGAACATTCCAGACAATTTATGTTATTAGGTTCTTTTTCCATACCAAGAGTTTGTTTTCATACTTGACGGTTTCAACTGCTCACTTGTGGTCTTCCTCAGAGTGCTCACTTGATGTTGCTGTGACGTTTCCAGACAAGGGGGCTTTCTTACTCTCACAGACCTGGGATACTGTTCTAAGGAAGTCAGACTGCAGTTGGCGCCATCATCCTGCCTCCACCAGTAGGAAGACAGCGCCAAAACCTATATAAATTATCTGATAGGACAAGTCACAGCAACATCACGTGACCACTTTGAGGAAGACCGCTGGTGAGCAGTCAAAACTGTCAGGTATAAAAACAAACTCTTGGTCTGAAAAAAATTACCTAATAACATGAATTATCGGGAGACCAAATTAACCTCATTGGACTTTCTAGACAAAGCAATGACATTTCCAAGGAGAAAATCATTTGACAGACCCATCACCAAAAACTTACCTTTAAACTAGTTTTTATTATTTAAATTTTATTCATCAACTTTTTCAGGATGGTAGGATATAGCATGAAATGGGAGGGAGGGACATTTAGTAAATTATCTGAGCAAGAATTCACAACTCTGAAGTCAGCACAGAGCACAGCATATACCTCCTACCATTACCCTTGGTCAGAGAGCGGAACTAATCTTGAGTATAGCACAAGTCTGTCAGCAAGTTTTAATAACAATCAACAAATAAAGGAATTTACAGTTTCAAAAGTGAACTTCCTGAATCCCCCTGACATATGTATTGGAGTGAGGTCACGTTGGGTTACACACTCATGTTATTGTGAGTTGTGGCTTTATTGAAAAGTGTGGTCTAACATACTGCAGGCTTAGTCTTGCTGAGAACCACCTGCAAACTGTAACTGTCAGCAAGGTCTAATACCACTGTCACTGCACTACAGGGTACCAATCAAAAGTAGAGGAAGCAGACACACTGACTTTACATTTAAGAAATAAAGCAGTCGACAGCTATCTTAGTTTTCATTTTAGCTTTCTAACCATGTCCAGTCAAACATTTATTTGATTGCATTGGATTGACGTGATTTATCCTTGGGTTTGGTCAAGTCTGATTGGATAAAATTATGTTCTTTTGGCCTTGTACCCCTATATTTATTATCAGTGCCCAAGCCTAAAAACTTTCTATCTTCAGCTATTTTCATAATAAAAAAATAATAATAATAAATAAAAATACATTACCTAAAGGAATTAACACATCATCTGGCTCCTAGCATTTCATTTTAAAGCAACTTGTGACTTTCCAGAGGAGGCACATGTCCTGCATTATTTTATGGAAATAGAAAGTTTAAACTATACTTTGGAACATTCTCCATGGAGATGTGAAATATTGAAGCCAGAGAAACAGTATTTCCATGAAGAAAAGCAGGTGCAGGCTCTTCTCCAAGCCAAATAAGCGTCAGGTTTGAGGAGATGCAAGCTCGCTCACCCAGACTGACCCAGCACTTGAACAAACCAAGTCAAATCAAATCAGGACAATTGCAACTTCTGCCTAATTCATTACATTCCAGGTAAGATTGTTTTTTTGTTTTTTTGTTTTGTTTTGTTTGTTTGTTTGTTTGTTTGTTTGTTTTGTTTTGTTTATCAGTGTCCTACCTGTGTGGGAATGAGAGGATCCAACATGCTCCCTGCAGTCTCCATCGTTCCTGGGGCAATGGTGTTCTTGGTTTCTCTGTTTCTGTGTCCAAGGCTAATTGTTGTGGACTCACTCGAAGCAGGCTGGACTTCTGATCCTCTGCCAAACGTCATGAGAGCATTCCCTACAAACCAAAACACAACAGCAGAACGGCCATTTAATACACTTTCACATTTCGATATTGACATGTTTTGATTGAATTCCACTCATGTCTGTTTCAGTTCAACCACACAGGGGCATAAATTTTCCATGATAGGTGAGGAATTACGCTTGGAGAGGGGAAGAACACAAAGTGAAAATGTTCAGTATTCCCTTCAAGTAGCTGGACTGCACCTGGCTCTCCACTTTCGACCTCATTAACAAGTCCGAGGCTGTCTGTGTCGGATGTGGAGAGGCAGACTGCAGAACCACCTAAGCTTACATTGGCAAAGGCTTCCATTGTGTAGATGATGATTAGTGATATGTACAGTATGTCTCATGAATACTGTAGCGTGCCAGGGTTAAAGGTGATGAAAGATGGTTGAAAAAAGGATCACAGGCAAATTCAAGGGAAATAGCAAAACCATGAATGATTTGATTGTAATAATAATGATTTAGTCTTTTATATTGCTTCCAGATGCTCAAAGTTGCCTCACAGTTTCGTGCATTATTCATTCACTCCATACAAGGCAATGTGGAAGTGCCTTGCCTAATGACACAAAGACAGTTTTGCCACAGTTTTCTCCACTGATTTGTCTCCATAGATTTTTCCCCCTTCCTGTCTTGTCAGGAGCAGTGGGCAGCTCCGGTTCAGCTCTCTGTGACCCAATCCACAGATCTTTAACTATAGGATCTTGGTCAGCATTACCTGAAAGATCTGCCTACAGTGCACATTTAGGGTTAATGGGGAAATCCATAGTACCTGAAGGAAACCAATGCAAACATGTGTGGAATGTGTGAGAAGAGGGTGATTCGTGCTATAATTTGTAGAGAAAATACTAATATTTTTGTTATTTTAGAAAGAAGCAAAATGCAAAGATAGAATTAGAAACATGGCTATTGGTGGGTTTCACCTTCTATTTTGAGGACTTTTGACCATTCCAAAAATATAATGTTAAATCTCTGAAGGGCCCATATTTAGTGTTGTAGTACTTGAGACCGGTCTTGGTCTCGTCTCGGACTTGAGCACATTTGAACTTGGTCTTGTCTCGGATCAGGGTCTGACACTTGACAAGTGCAATCTTATTTCATTATGGCCTGTGATGTGCAGAGGCTGCAAAATATCACTGCAAAACCAGAAAGATCTGGACTGAAGAACTGTAAATGTTATGAATTTGGGGAAAAAAAAACACTTTCTTCACTTTGAATTTGGTTTCTGTAAATTGCCAGTGGAAGTTCTCTTAAAGAAGGGGTTCTCAAACTGTGGGTGATTGTCCAAGAAAGGGGCTCGGAGTGTTTCAGTGCAGTACAGTTTGCTTGGCTCATTTTAAGCTTAAATAAACATTAATCAGATAGAATGAAGAGAGATTTATATAAACATTGACATATATACGGAGGGTGTGTTCCAACTACAGGGGAATTACACTCCTCAGCCTTCCCGGTAAGGTCTATGCCAGGGTACTGCAGAGGAGAATTCAGCCGATAGTCGAACCTCGGATCCAGGAGGAGTAATGTGGTTTTCGTCCTGGCCGTGGAACACTGGACCAGCTCTACACTCTCCATAGGGTGCTCGAGGGTTCATGGGAGTCCAACCAGTCCACATGTGCTTTTTGGACTTGGAGAAGGCATTCGACCGTGTCCCTCATGGTGTCCTGTGGGAGGTGATCCGGGAGTATGGGGTTTGGGGCCCTTTGCTAAGGCCTGTTGTATGACCGGAGCAGGAGCTGTGTTCGCATTGCCGGCAGTAAGTCAGACCTGTTCCCGATGCATGTTGGACTCCGCCAGGGCTGCCCTTTGTCACCGGTTCTGTTCATTGTGTTTATGGACAGAATTTCTAGGCGCAGTCAGGGGTCGGAGGGGGTCCGGTTTGGGGACCACAGGATCTAATCTCTGTTGTTCGCAGATGATGTTGTCTTGTTGGCTCCATCGAACCAGGACCTGCAACGTGCACTGGGGCGGTTTGCAGTCGAGTGTGAAGCTGCTGGGATGAAGATCAGCTCTTTCAAGTCCGAGGCCATGGTTCTCGACCGGAAAAAGGTGGCTTGCCCTCTCCGGGTGGGTGGAGAGTCTTTGCCTCAAGTGGAGGAGTTCAAGTATCTCGGGGTCTTGTTCACGAGTGAGGGGAGGACAGAACGTGAGATTGACAGGCGGATTGGAGCGTCGGCAGTGATGCAGTCGCTGTATCGGACCGTTGTGGTGAAGAGGGAGCTGAGCCGAAAGGTGAAGCTCTCGATTTACCGGTCAGTCTTCGTTCCTACTCTCACCTATGGTCATGAGCTCTGGGTAGTGACCGAAAGGACAAGATCGTGGATACAAGCGCTTGAAATGAGTTTCCTTCACAGGGTGGCTGGGCGCTCCCTTAGAGATAGGGTGAGGAACTCAGTCACACGAGAGGAGCTCAGAGTAGAGCCGCTGCTCCTCCACGTTGAGAGGAGCCAGTTGAGGTGGCTCGGGCATCTGTTCCGGATGCCTCCTGGGCGCCTCCCTCGGGAGGTGTTCCGGGCATGTCCCGCCGGGAGGAGGCCCAAGGGAAGACCCAGGACACGCTGGAGGGACTATGTCTCTCGGCTGGCCTGGGAACGCCTCGGGGTCCCCCTGGAGGAGCTGGAGGACGTGTCTGGGGTGAAGGAAGTTTGGGAGTCCCTGCTTAGACTGCTGCCCCCGCAACCCGGCCCCGGATAAGTGAAAGAAAATGGATGGATGGATGGATGGATGGATTGACATATACAGTAAGTGCCAAAATAACATAATAAGTAAAATACAAATAAATGTAGGAAATTACAAAGATGGTCTGGATTTGGTCTCAATGGGCCGTGGTCTTGGTCTTGCTTCGGTCTCGACTCCCAGAGGTCTTGGTCTTGTCTTGGTCTCAGGACCCTGTGGTTTCGGACTGATCTTGGTCTCGTTTAGTGCGATCTTGATTTCAACAGTACCCATATTACACTATTTTCTGATCTTTGTTATAATGTTGTTTCCTCATCACAAACAGACCTGGAGTTGTGTTTTGTTTCATTCACACATGTTTAACACACAAACCCAAACTGCATATTTAGGCTGAGTTTTTCTCTCAAAATGAAAATACTCTGTTCCACCTTGTGATGTCATGTGGGAACAAAAGAAAAGCTCCACTGTGTTTTTAAACTCCATACACCCTGACTAGAATCGTTTGAATAATTTCAGCCCTGAAATTTCCAATCTCTACTAAACAAAAGGTAAAATGTCAGTATTAACTTTAAAAAACACAACAAAACACAACTCCAGGTATGTTTTTGATGAGCTAACAACATTCATGGCTTAAGAGTAAATTCTGTGTAATATAGGACCTTTAAATGCTATGACAACATTACCTATTTGTCATCATTCTGAAACCCATGGATCTTTGAAATGCAGTGGTTCTGTATGTGGTACTCTTTTCCTTCAGTTATGTTTATGTAATTAAATAAGACATTTGTTTAAAATATTTTCCATTCATTTATAACTCTTTATAACTTTATAATATTCTCTCTTAGTGAAAGACATTTAAGTTATGTGTTCCTTGTGTCTCTTTTCGTCGCTGTACTCACTGACATTTACCGTTATTACTACGTGTACTTTCTCACTTGTCAATGTCAGGCACTGAAAAAATACTCTGCCCTAATAAAATAGCACTGATTTTCAAAATGACTGGCTAACGGCTGGTGGTATGTTTCAAGATTCTCTACGGGATTTTTTATTGTGATCTTCAATCATTCCAAACAAACATCCTAATTACACTGTTAGTTTGCTGTCACAGTAAAGCTTACAACAAATAGCAAACTTACATTGCAATTCCTGATTCTCAGACACTATAACACTTCGTAATGGGCTCTATTCACACTTATGTCACAAAACCACAAGACTTTTCAGACATGCGGATGACAACTTCCTTTGGGCCCTGTTGGCGATAGTAACCCTGAGAAAATCTGGGAAAATTGAGAAAATGGTCCAGTTTTCTTCATCTAGATGGCATTGTAGTCTTTTTTTTTTTCCTTTTATAAATTTAATAAAAAAAAAAAAAAAAAAGCGGCAGCTTCGGGTAAACGTGAATAGAGCCTATTAGATGCAAACAGAACACAGCAGGCTTTTTTGGGAGCTACTTCACAGTATATCTGGGGCAGAGCAAATTTTTCTCACGTACATGGAAAAAAAAACACACACTTTAAAGAAACTATATGTATCCTGTGCTCTTACAGTAAAACAGAACTAAAGTCACAACTGCACCTGGCTTACCAGTGTCTTAACCTGCAGAGAGAAGACACATTTTCCCATTTTCAGTATATGAACAGGCAATGCCTCATGTAAAAGCTCAGAACCTCCAGAATTCAATCACTAAGTTGCAGAGGCTGCACTAGCACTGATTCATGGTTGGCTACAGATGCTGGGGTTTAGGTAGTGACCATCCAGATCAGAGAGAGAAATTTTAGGTGTAAGCCACCTGGATTTCAGCACTGCAACCTAAAGAGACTCATGTGTGTCTCATTCTGCTTACTGACCGGAAAATCGTCTTGAGAACCAAAACACTAAATTATAACAAAATAAAAAGGACATCATTGTTTACAGTAAAAGCTATATTTGATTAGCACATGCCAACCTCATATCAGGGAACAGCTAGGTCATATTTATGGTATTTAAAATCAAAGTCTTGCATGCAGTTTCTTTCAAGATAGAATTTGTAATTTTAATATTTTGTTGTGACAACCATTAAAACTTTCAAAATGGTTTAATTTGCATGAAGTTGAAGTTAATTCAGAAGGCATTTTATCTGTGTACCTTATTCTTGCTCAGGTTTACTTTGCGACCCAAATTCATTGTTGTTTTTGCAGGCTGCGGAGATGTCCAGTGACAGTGTCAGAACAGTTGAACTACATCAGTGTGTGGATGTGTGTATTTGTGTATTAGTGATGCCTGGCCTCATGTAACCTGGGGTCTTGATGCTAGTTGCCTTCATTAGTTTTTGTTGCTCCTGGAGAGTCTTGCCACATGAGTCACCAGAAGTGTCAAACTTCATGTACTTATATAGACACTATGAAGTATTGTACCAAGTCATAACATTCTCTCAGTCATTGTGTAAAATTGATGGCCTCGTTTAAACTAGGCCTATGACGCTCTTTGCTCTTATTGCTATTTTTTGTTCCTCCTGAGACAGATGAGTCATGAGTTTAGACCTACGCTATATGAAAATCTATATACTCTGAGCAATGAGTTAAAATAGAAGACATTGAAGTGAATAATTACAAGTTACCATCCTTCGTTTTGCACCACTAAGTCTTCATTCATGAGCTATATTGTGTGTGACAGTCAAAGCAGTAAAACACCTGTAGCCAATTATTATTATTATTTTTTTTTTCATGTATTGTCAACGTTTGTTAATTTGCCTCAGTACAGATATATTGTATAAGCAGCTCCTGAGGTCAAAATAAGTCTGCTGTGTATGGTTTGCATTTTAGAAAGTTGTTGGGTTTTTTGTTTTTATTTTTGTTTTGTTTTTTGAACAGAGAATAATTAGTATGTCCAGAACACATAATGTAAATGAGGAATAACTTTGAACCATAGCTAAATGTTTTTGAGTAAAATCAGGTACAGGGCCATTAAGGATCTACATACAGAATTAAAATCTTTCATTCATCCCGTATTATTTTGTTCGGGCTATTGCGGGTAATAATTAGCACACATTTAATTTTAAGATTGAATCAGACATCTAGTTGTAATTTTTATTCTAAATTAGAAAATATAATGGGTTGATCTGAGCTGGACTGGCTTGTCTGAATGTATTTTTATTCAGTAACCCTAAGGTCTGAGACACTGTGATGGATGCTGCCACTCTATCAAGCTGTCAATCAAAGCGGACATGGTTTTAAATATAAATGAATTTAGCACACCTCCAAAAAATCTGCATTGAATAAATGTATTGAAAATGTGTATGTGTTGTAATATCATTTTGTGTCAGTTTAGCATTACTGGGGGTTTCAAAACTTACGGAGACAGATGTTGTCAGCGAAGTATCCCAGGAAGTCGTCACACTCGTCGCGTTGGCTGCCGCTGTTGGCACAGGTGCACCATGGGGCCACACTGGACGTGGAGTTGTCCACATAGTTGGGAGTTATTGTACTTCCTGCAGAGAGCACAGAAGGCCAAGAGAATTAAATATTCATTCTCTTTTCACTTGTTATTCACAGGGTTTATTGTCTGAGGCTCTTTCTCACTGACCAAATGGAGGCAGTGTTATTTTTACATTAGGACAGTGTTCATTCTGATAACAAATAAACACTAAAAGTCTTATATTACATAATACTTAGAAGCTTTAAGTCATGTTAGAATGTTGTTATCTCATCAAAAACATGCCTGGAGTTGTGTTTTGCTTCATTCACACATGATTGAGTAATCCTGCATTAGTAGGCTGTCTACATCTCCAAAGCTTAAAATGCTCTGTTCCACCTTGTGATGTCATGAAGCAGTAGTTTTCAAGTTAACACCTTTTACCTTTTGTTCAGTAGAGCTTGGCAATTCAAGAGTTGAAATTCTCCAAATGATTCGGTGAAGGTGTATGGAATTTAAAGCACAATGAAGCACTTCCTGTATTACCACATGGCATCACAAGGTGGAAAAGGATGTTTTCAGTTTGAGAAAAGAACTCAGCCTAAATGCATTGTGCAAATGAAACTAAATGAAACACAACTCCAGGTATGTTTTTGATGAAGAAACATTATAACATATGTGTATAATATATGCCCTTTAAAGTTGCACAATTTAACTTTTTTGATAGAGGATTCATGTGATGATCCGCCTTGTGATGTCACGTGGTTAATACAGGAGGTTTTCCAATGTATTTTTAAACTATATATAACAGAATAATTTGGAGATGAAGATGAATAGAATAATGAACTCAAACATGTGTGAATGAAACAAAACATAACACTTTAACATGGATTCAAGATTTCTATGGTGCATGTTCATATTGCACTGCTTCATGCATCTCCTACCATATGTGTAAAGACTTGTGTATTAGATTTTGAGTTTGGACGTGGTCTTGTTTTGGCATCACACTGAAAAGGAATAAGGCTATAATAAAATTCATTAGGAGCTTGGACTAGTTTTCGCTACCCTCCTTTTCAATTTGTTTTAATTAGTTAAAGAAAACATCTGTAATCTTTTATAAAGTTTTCATCAGCAAAAATATTACAAGGACAAAAAATATGTCCAAAACTCACCGGCAAAATAAACACTGCACTAGGAGACACATGACAGTCGAAAAGCAATACTTTCTTTTTCATTATTTGCGATCACCAAAGTGTCCGGTGTTAAGATGTGACGTTCCCACATAGCAGCGGAGGAGGCTGTTGAAGCACTTTAATAAATACAAGAGTGGAATGAAAATGCCAAGTGTGTGTTTGTGCTGAGGGGCACCATTTGAGCTTGTTGAAATGCATTAGGTTGGGTTTGCTCCTCTTTCCACAGTGTGCAAAGCAAAGCCTGCTCTTTTTATGGACTGTTATAAAGCAAATTAAACACACCTCTGCAAGCACCACTTATTATGCACTTTCTGACACAAATGTGCTACTTTTGGCACTGCTTACTGTTTACAGCTTTACCCAAATGCTTCCTTTTTGCATCCAGTTTCCTTCTCACTAAATACACTGCCTATAAGACAACTTACTGATTAGTGGGTTTCAGAAAAATAGCTAGCCATTTTAAAGGCCACTCTTAAGCTAGCTAGTTATATGGCTACAGCTAATTAAAATAGGTCTGTGTTCAAGTTTGTAATTAAATGAATAATAATTACATGATTGCAGCTTTTTTTTTTTTTTTACACGGAAGTATCAATGGGGAAAGAACTTGATTTATTTGCTTTATACAGCACCTTTCAAGACATCCAATGTGCTTTACTTACCACAGACACTGTGTATGCTGTAGAGTTGCCCTGGGTGGAGACTGAAGGAAGGCTACCAATTTGCACCATCAGACCCTCAGACCACCATCAACCCTCACACACCCACCATTCTAAGCAAGTGTCTTGCCTAAGGACACAACAAGAGCATGCACTAGATTGCCACCCCACTGTGACACCTGGTATTCCCGGAGGTCTCCAATCTAACTAACCCCAACTCGGCATAGCTCCCATCAAACAAGATTTGGCATTCTCAACATGGTATGTCCTTCTAGTGAAAAAACAAAATAAATCAAAACAAATATATACATAATAAATACAAGAAGACTTAATTTTCAAAATATTCCTCCACATTTGTTTCTGATTTATGCAATATGCAACATTACATTTTATATATTGTAAAATTTAATTTTTTAATTTTTTTTTTTTTTTGAGAATAAGAAAGAAGCATTTGTTTACTTCTGTATGAAAACTGCATGTTTTTCCGGTGCACAAATTTAGACCAACTTCTTAGTGATAGTGTAAACGTACCAATGAGCCCTGTGTAGGCGAGGAGACAGGCTCCGTAGTTGTCTTGCGTTGCAGCCCGTGGCGGATGTCTCTGATGGAGCACAGTCGAACTGAAACTGTGCCAGGCGAGACCTACAAACAATCACCTTTTTTAGTACAAGAACATATTCTTAAGTTTTTTAGCCTTCTCAATATGATACTTGCACTTTGCTGTTAATTAAGAGTTTGGGTATACGCTCTTGGTATATATATGATAAAGACTGAAGGCATTGGGGTGTAATGCAGAAGTGATAGAAAGAGTAATATATTTCATCCCTCCAGACCTAGGATCATTAGTAAAGCCCTCTGAGTGTAATGGGCCTGTGAAAAATAATGGCCATGACCAGAGATAGCAATGAGCGATAACTCTGATCCATCTGGCTCTTTATCTGTGCTAAATATTTAATGTGTTATTCCAGCCGACTCTCCGGGGCCTTCTAACCCATGGAGGTGGAGAGCTTTAGGGGTAAAACAGAGGCCCATTTTGTTGATTGAGTAGCTGTTTGGTTTTCCACAAGGCGTTATCTATTGGGGCTATGGTTCAAACATGTATGTCAATTCAATTGTATGGTAACATTTTTGAAACTACTTTGAGATGAAAATCGAATTATGATCTTTATGACAAGCATTGCATTTATGGTTAGATTTACAATGGTATATAGTTATAATCTGTGACACCCGTGGATTCTTATGTTATAATTTACACATTTTATTCATAAACATCTTAATAAAAGAAACAAGCCTCCTGACTTCTTCCGCATTTGAAAACTGTGGTACCTCAGCACCTCCAATCGATAGCTGCACATCATGTTAGCGAGCCATGGATTTGTTTTCATTCGTACCAAAATGACTACATGCTGGGTGCGCCACCTATACCGACACCCCTTTATTACGACATGTCTCTATTTAGACATGCCAGTATTACAGCATTCCTCTATTTAGACGTGCTGGTTTTCTGACACTTTTTAGTATCGTTATTCTGACATGCATAGATGCAATAGGTCTACTTGACAACTATGTGACTCTTACGCAACATTTATTTGGCTCTTCTTGCAATTAAGCATGAAAAAATGCACTGTTCAACAAAGAATTGCCTGTGAATCTATCTGTTTAATGACCACTCAGCATTTCTACAACAGTCCATGATGTCCATGATGCTGTGAATGTTGCACTTAGGCTATCACTTGTATTGTGGATAACATGCCATTCTGGGTATGAGTGAGTATAATAGGCTATCACATTAATATTATTCATGTCCGAAAAGTGGAATGTTAGAAAAATAGTAAAGTGCTGTTACTTTGAAGATGGAAAAAACAAAATCGAAGTAGTGGGATACTTGAAAAATAGTTTATGCTGCTACACTGACAATTAGACGTCAATGTCTAAACAGTGGCATGTCGGAAAAGCAGCGTATAACTCCACACACCGCAGATGAATCCTGCATGTATCACAGTTTAAGAAAATAAAATTGGAGAATGAAGTAAGTTCAGACCAATAGAATATGCCTAGTGGCAGTGCATACGGTGGTTAATCTGCAAAACGGTCTGTTGAAAATAGGCGATTAAAGATTGCTCAAACCTGCATGAATTACTTAAAAAAATAACTATAACATGATTAAACTCTCTGAAAAGTCAATTTTGTTGAATAGGTCTGCTTTAAATAATATCAGTCTTTCGATTTGCTAATTGCAACAATTTAAACTACAGTTTGGTTGCATTGCTGTGTACTGTGTATCACACTATGTATGACACAGTAACACTGATGCAGGATAATCCAGTAACACTTGAAGTGAATTCTATTGTAGAAACAGCAACAGTAATGAAAAGGTAGATAGTGTTTATAATCAGTCAGTCATGTTAATTGCTCTACCTCAACAAGCCCTACAGCTTAAATGCTCCAAAAGAAAAAGCTCCTTTATAGTGCCTGAAACACGTATAGTTGATCTATCAGTTATTGAACAATAAAATGATACTGAAGTGATTGTGACAGCCGGGCCCAGGCGATGTGCAGATCTACATCAAGATGGTGGCAAGAGGATTTGTTAGTCGAATTGGAATTAGATCATTAACAACAAAGCTAGTGCAGACATGTGAGAGATGACTTTAATATCTACTGCTGACAGAGGGACAGACTGAATAAATGAAAGGCAATATGTTGAGTTCACTTGACAGCACTACATTATAAAGTGCCCAGAGTTTTTAAATAGGGATGGAGTGTAGGTCTGTGGTAGGACTTTCAGTTAATTGGTGTTTTCAGATGTTTTATCCTAATTTATGGTAAATGGGTTAATTAATTAATTTAAATGAATCTTTAGATTTATATAGTGCCTTTCATGATAGCCAGTCATGTGTCAAGTGCTTTACAGTGCATTATTCATTCTCTCCACACTTGGTGGTAAGCCACTTCATTCTTGTCAGTTTAAAAGGACTTTTAGAATTCATTTTAATAGTTGACGAGTCAACCAATTATTTCTATTGTATTTCTATTGAGACTTTTTAAATCCATTATCATTATTTATTGTATTGACTGAAGGCTTCTAAATAGAAATGATGATGAAAATCAGAAATTGTTTATTATTTTTTGACATTTTCATTTAATAATATATTTTCTCTCATATTTTCAGAGAATTTTGTTCCTGCTGTGATAAAATGATTTAATGCACAGATTTAATGTTTGTGTGTGCGTGTGTGTATGCGTGTGTGTGTGTGTGTGTGTGCACCTTTAATATGTACCCATAAATGTTGTTTTTGCAATTATTGTAAATGAGCTACTGCAACAAAGTAATTTCCTGAAAAGGATTAATAAAGTATATCTAATCTATCTAATCTAATCTCTGTCTTTGCCATGAAAATTCTCCAGATAACGATTTTCAAAATATTACTACATTGAATTTTCATAGTCGACTAGTCACAACTAGTTCATTAATCCTTGCAGACCTAATATATATGTCAAATGTGTAGTCCTATTCAACAATTTATGAAAAGCTTCAGCATTTGTGGATTTGCCAGTACGGATTCTTTTAAAAACACAAACTATGAACCTTCTCTTACCTGCACACGTAGTCGGCTTTACAAATCCGCATCTGAGTGAGACAGTTGGGTTTCTCTGGACTTTCGTAGGAGCAGCTGGGTACGATGGTCTGCCTGCGTCTTTCTGCACACGCCGTGTCAGTGCATGGGCAGAAGAGCAGCTCGTGTGTGTAGTCGGCAGGAACACGGTCAAAGAACTTACGGAGAGCTTTGTTGCACTTGGGCCTGTTGCACAAGCCCGATTTGGCCGTGGGTTTGATGCACACGGAGACGTATTCTGTACGCAACTTCTGGCACATGTCATCCACATTGCAGGCCTTCGCTGCATCCAAGCAACGGTTAACTGTTGTCATGCCAACCTCAGAGTCTGTGTGGAAGTCAAGTCAAAAAAAAGTGATCATTTGCGAGTTTGAAGAGGTACATAGCTCAGTGATGAGTTATTTTTTGCTGCTCATTTTGTTTCATAAGAGTTCAGGTTTATATGTTTGTGCAACTGTGTTCATTGTCACAACAACAGCGTAATTACTTTCTGTCCAATTTTAACTTTATGAGGTTTTTGCCAATTCATGCTAAAATGAATAAACATTTAAAGATACGACAGTGAACAGAGAGCTGCAGGTGCATGCCACTGACAAGAAGTTAAACAGTACACAAATGAAATGAATACTTTACCAGAGGCACTTGTGTGTTTAGAAAGGAAGGTGTGTCTAGCTAATTTTGAGGCATAATAAATACCTTATTAAAACAAAGCCTCAAACTGAAGTATCCCACACATAAAACAACTGGTTTTTTTTATTTTAATTTAAAAAATCTACAGAAAAATAAATAAAAATGAGAGTACAAAAAAAAATGAGAGTGTGGTTGCTATGAGGAAAGCTTTTTTAAACCAACAAATTTGTGTTGGCGTCTCAAAGTAAATCTTAAGTCATGTAGCATTGTAGCATTATTAAAACATTTGGATGACTGCAAATTGAGTCTCAAAAGAGGATTAGTCTGTTAAATATGTGTGAATGTCACATTAAAAATCTCTAATTCCGCCTTGTTCATTATAAACTGTCAACAGCTGAGACATAGGCATAAAGAGTCTTTGTGTAGCAGTGGCGTTAGTCAGACTTTAAGATAACTTAGAATGGGCTCACAATAATTGGTCTCCTAACCTAACTAACAGGCTCACAGCTCCACTCAAACAGTGAGACATACAGGACTACATATATACCCACAGACTATAAAAAAGTGGACTAAGTGAGCACCCACAGCGTTCAGCTCCACTCAAATGAAGCACGATCGAATTTGGAGTCATATTTTTGAGGTTTTGACGAAATAGCAGAAAACACTGGGATTATGTAGAATGGGTTAATACGAACATTTTAAGACCAAAATGAAAAGGCTCACTGCAGCAGTTACAGAGCAGGGACCACAGTATTTCAATGTAAGTCAATGGGAATCGGGGTCAGAAAGAGCAGTAAGAGCCGCATGCAAACTTCCTATTAGCTAGCGCTTAAGCTGTGTTCATTTTTATATACAGTCTATGTTCATGCTACATTCCATACACCTGCACTCACTCTTATGTAACATACAGTGACCAGACGTCCCTATTTACCCGGGACACTCCCAGTTCTGAGCCCTGTGTCCCCTGTCCTAGCAGATTTACCCAAAACCAGTGATTTGTCCCAGTTTTACACAAGAAATGACCTCAGATGGACATGTTTTCAACCAATTTGATCCCTGCAACAGTAAAGAGAGGCATAAATTGTCACTTGTTTAGGTAAAATACAGAAAAGCTGCTTCGAAAGGATCAAAACACAAAGAAAATGTGACTATACTGACTCATGAATGGGCCGAGTGCAGAACAATTCTCCTTAATTACACACTTGTTTCACAATTTTATTATTACCTACCAACCACCACAAGCCGGAGATGTCTCAGTTTTTGATTTTGGAAATCTGGTCACCCTAATGTAAGAGATAATCTTATGTAATGTCAATCATTATTTCATCTTTTCACTGTTTCTCCTTTTGACCTCTTGTATCTAGCTGAGATATTTTTATTACTTATTTTCTATTTTATTTTGTCTTCTACAGATACATTTATATAATTATGCCTTATTTGACACCAGTCGCTATTTTTATTGCTACTTTTCTCTTTGTTATTATAATATATTGTAATGTGTGAGCTACAGGGTCCAAGTCATTTCCCTTGTGGATCAATAAAGTTTGTCTAAATCTAAATCTAATGCTGGTGTGTATTGACAAAAGGAATAGCCACACTCCTCACGTACTGAGTTTTTACAATGAACTTCTGTGCTCTTATTGTTCTATAATATTTTCTTTACGACAAATCTTCATGGTTGAACTGAAAAGAACTGCTGTCAATTTCCAATGAACATTCCAAATAAATCAGATTTGACTCCCAAACAAAGCACCAAATTTCACTCTAGTTTAGACTGACGAAAAACAACACGAGAACCCACGCACAAATTTAGGAGAAAGTGAAATTCAAACAAATTGTCATTAAAATATAGACCACCTTGTATTGCTGTGTTTGAGATGATCATAACGCTCTATGGGTCAATAATCAGGGGTGTAGTGGGTGTGGTATGCGGGGGTACACCGTCCACCCACTTCTCCCAATGTGAGATATAAAAAAACTAGAGTTATTGGCAATGGTGGAAACAACCTGCATAGGCTCATGATATCTCCAGTACTGTGCTGTGGGACTGGAACAGGACTGGGACAGGTCTGGACTGGGTCTGAACAGGGACTGGACCAGAACTAGACCAGGACTGAGTGTCGGGATGGGCTCACAGGTGCGTCACGTAGACCCTACTCCACAGGCTCAGGGTTTTCTCTCTCTCTCTTTCTTTCTCTCTCTCCAAGTCCAGGATTGGTCCTGCTTTGGTCCTGGTTTGGTCCTGGTTTGGTGCTGGTCTAGTCCTGGTTTGTGCCTGGTTTAGTCCTAGTTTAGTCTTGGTTTATTCCCCACGAATGGCGTACTCCCAATACAAAAATCCCCACTACACCACTGTCAATAATGAATGAATTGTGTTTGAATGTTATGTTTACTTTTGTTCCTGGGTCTAGGCACTGATAGAAATGACAAGGACCAATATTTCTGAGAATAGCACCATGTACAATCAATAGGGAAATTTAACTCTTGCCCCGCATTTGGGAGTACATCATCATTCATCACATTCTAGAGTCTGGAAACCATCTGAAAAATGGGCCATACATGTCATATGTTTTCTCATGCTTGGTGTCCACTGCACGATACCAGCTTCAGTTTCATATTTTGTTATCTTTAATGCCTACTTCAGAGACTCAAGACTGTATCTTTTTACAAGAATCTTTCAACTTTTTTTTTTTTAGCAGCCTTGAGCAGCAAAAATAAAGAAAACTAATAACCCTCAAGTCAATTTAAATAGCGCTTATGTATACAATACTGAGAAATACTGTGCAGTAGTTAGATGTGTAGTGCATGTACATTACACTAGGGCCCTTGTTTTGCCTTGGGCTCACTTCCAGGGAAAGGCTTTGAATACAAGAGCATCATCAGTGGTGGAATGAGTAAATGAAGCCGGGTTAATGAAGGTAAATGGACTTACCAGCTGTGATGGAGGCCAGCCGGACATAGTCGTAATCCTTATGCACTGTCTCATAGGGGTAACTCTCCACCAGGTTCAGTCCTGCATGGAAAACATCTGCTCTGTTAATCCAGGTGAATCATGTTTGTTATATCCTCTACATTGGCATGCATAGGTAACTCCAATCATTTTGTGTCTCATTTCTCTAGAAAATAGATCAGACCAAAACGTTGACTAGCTAGTGTGCAAACAGCTCACGTTATTGAGGAAAGGTTCGTTTCCGTCCTTCTGACTTTTTTCCGATACCTGCTCAGATGTTTCAGTAGAAGCAGAAGTAGTTTCAATACTAGTTTTAGTATCGTTTAATAGTCGATTTTCAATACTTTTGACAACCCTAGTTAATGTGTATTTTAGGAATTCTGTGTAAATCAGACTAGGCCAGAAATATTTCAGTATTTGTGGTGATATAAACTCAGTGACCCTGCTAAGCTCCTCACCATGTATGACAGACTGGTGCAGGCTCCAGTAGATGCTCAGGCAGTTCTTCTCCTTCTTCATGCCTCGTTTGCACTGGCAGCCGTGTAAGGGGCTGGAGAGCAGGGCAGACACTGCATTGGCACACTGGCTCCTGGCCCCAGGGCCCAGCTTCATGTTACCATTCCCCGCCACACACTGTCGAAGGGTCCGTAAGCGAGGACTGCAGGTCTCATCACTGGAGCACGAGTCACCTGCCACCAAGCAGTCTCTACCAGCCACGATCACCTCTAACAGAGCTGTGGGAGAACAAATGTGGGAGTGGGATTTAGTGAGTTAAAGAACACACTGTATGCATTCTTGTGGCTATCACATTTTCTAACTTCAAAATGAGGTTTCCAATGAGGCATTTGGGTGTTTGAGCTCCCACTGGTGTCAACACCGGGAATGAACAATTAGAAATCTACAAATGAAGCCATTAGACAATGTGAATGCTATGCTAAGAGTGCCATGCCACTGTGAACCCCCGTACTAGTCTGGTGATAGTTTATGGGCTTAAAATCTGCATAGGAGACAATTATTATCTATAACCCAACTACCCGGACAAAATGCAAATCGAGACAACTTTGGATTAATGAATTAATGAAACAAGTGTACAAGAAGCAAAATACAACTCCAGGTATGTTTTTAGATATTTATTTGGCAGGGACAAAGCAATTAGACACAGGGATAACATTAAAACATGGTTAAAAGCTCAAAAAATCCATTTTGCATAACATGTGTCCTTAAAATAAAAACAATGATTTAACAATGATTGAACCAAGTGCATAAGATTCAAGTGCCTATACCACAGAATGATAGCCTTGCTTCAGTCAGTCTGCCCCAGGGCAGCAGCTTACCACGACCTTAAGGAACAAATAAATTATGACCTGTTCGGCTTTCCTGGAAAAATCCAGACTCATCGTTGTACCAGCATCTGTATAACAAATATAGAGATATAATTCTGGATTTCCAGACAACAGTTCTGCAATTTGAGAAGCTTTGTCAAGCCTGAATGAAGAAGTAATGTCTTTAAACGTGCCTGTGCTGCAGGCTGTACTGTCCTTGCCATAATACTGCAGAAAAGAAAATAACTATTCACAGGTTTCAGCCTCCTGTTACAGGCAACTTGATGACTCTAGTATTCAGAAAAGGAAATATTTTATTTTATTTCTAACTGCTATGGCAACAGTCCTAACTTAGTAGCACATGTCTACTCTAAATCACAGTGAATTAATCTTCACATTGTTCTATCGACTGGATCTATGGACACATTTAACAAGGCAGAATTGTGAATTGATTGAGACACAAGGCGTGTTCATGATGGCTTTGACTTCTTCAATACTTGTTAGAATCTTTTAAAAGCTGTACAAACCTAATCAATGAAAAAGTTAAGTCAACACCAGAATGCGTTCAGTTGCACTGTTTTTTGCACACATTACTAACAACTATAACAAAAGTATACAATTTCCTTAAACTTTTACGTAGAGTCCCTTTATGCATCACAGCTGGTTTCTTTAAAGAAATTCTAATAATATACATATTCTAATAAATATCGTTTTCATATTATGCCAATATACAATAATGTAAACATGACAGTGTAAAAGTGAGGGGTAGGACTTCAACACACTCCTTTTGAGCACCAGTGTACGGTACCGATATATGTACATATATATCTTTTTTGTGTATTGTAATATACCTGACGTATACTCAAACAAATAAATAAGCAAACTAATAATTGCATTCTGAAACAAATTCTGTGAAAACAAAACCTTCAAGAGTATGTCATCCCTACATGCAATTCATTCTTAAAAATACATTCCACAGCAAAAACCTGCAGCGAAGCCAAGTGAATCCTATTATTCTAACTCTCAAATCATAATACTTATAAATGTTCAATTTCATGCTGCCTTCATCTGCACATACTGAAGGTAAATCCACCACAAAATAGCATTCACTTTCAAAAAATGAATTTAATTTTATACAATGCCAAATATTTTCAATCAACTACAACTCACGAAGAAGTTCTGTTTTCAGTTTTTCTTATGAAACAAAATCTCTCTGCATGACCTAAACCTGCAAACAGAAGAGTGCGTGTCTTCCTTCTCAAGCCAGTGTCCACTAGTCCAGATGGTCAGTTGCAAATTGGAGGCAGAGTTCCCAGGCCTTTGCTTAACAACTGTGTGTGTGCCCGGGACAGACGCCATACATCAGCAATGCAAATGAGCTGCTTCGTTTGACATTTCCAATAAGCCTGTCTCCGAGTACCAGTAGCTTTAGCCAATTAACCATGTCAGTAATCAATGCGTGTGGATGCTAGCTTAAGTCCTCACATTTCCCTGGCACATAAATCAGGAGGAGATTAGCCGATCAGTTACCCCCGTGCTCACGCTTAATGGTCCACTTCAGCACAGATAAAAGCCTGAATCAAGCGTAATGAAGTCAGCTGGAATCAGACTGGGCCTCCTCTGTGGTCACAAAAGACATGAGTTTTTGGGGGGAAATTGCGATGTATGGGCATGCTGTACAACTCACCTTTGTTTTGAGTGTGCCATTTTACTATATTGACTTATTGTATGACAGATGGAACAATATATTTTGCACTGCTAAGAACTTGGTGGTTATTTTTTGGCTATATGATTAGATTTGAGCCAAGTTTGAATTAATGACTTCAATGACTCATTACCGATGCAAACTAAGTAACAGCGTGTCATTTTGTTATTTATTTATTGCAGCTGATATTTTTTTATTATGTTGTACTTTTATAATTGTTTTTTTAATTGGTGCTAATCCTGCTTCAGGGTTTGGTTTCAATATTATCTTTTATTAGGGGTGTAACGATACCCAAGTCTCACGACACGATATCGTCAAGGTATGAATCTCATGGTACGATATTTATTGCGAAATCGATTAGGGATGTAACAATATTCAAATCTCTCTGTACGATATTTTCACTATACACATCTCAAGGTACAATATTTAATGCGATATTTTGTTAAGGCTGCAAACTGCAGCTGCGAACTGTGAATATGCAACTTTTTCCTCTTAAAATGCCTTGACAAGATTTAATCCAAAGAAATAAGATTTAAAAGTGCTTAGAACTGTTATTTCTTCTTGTAGTCTACACTGAAATGGAGCAAAGGATCATGGTCTATGTAGTTCTCTCTGTCTTTTTTTAGCTATTGCTGCACCATAACTCTTAATTTAAGCAAAGATACTTGTAAATCGATATATTGTCATGGTCCACAATATTACTGTGAGAAATGTGACGATACGATATCACGATATTTCGGTTATTGTTACATCGCTATCCTTTATCATCTATATTTACTTCAGCAATATATCGCACATTAACAGTTTTCATTGTGACAGGCCTATGTGTGTAGTTTAATATGTTTTGAGCACATCTCAACTTCTGATGGCACTTTTATATTATGGACAATGTAACTTTTCAGTAGGAGTGAACAGTACCTGCTTGTCTGCATGGAGATACTATTGCTTACCTAGAATGTTCCACAATATGGCATAAAAATGATCACTCTTGCATTTATTTAAGTAAGTTTTTTCTCTATCTCTCAAAAAATCCTTAAAAACACACACAGTCTTTCTGTAAGTGGGCTTGCCTATTCACAGATCTGACCTGTAACACATCCTGGTGCATCTCCTGCTTTTCTGCATAGTTAAGTTTAACACCACACTGTCCATAACTCCAGGCAAAGTAATAACATTTCCGCGGAGATAAGCAGGTGGGGTACATTCTTTTAGAAAAATGACATAGTGCACCTTTAGATATAATTTAGGCAACACGAAAGAAATATAGGAATGATTCAACAATAAACTACAGTAATGTATTTTCTACTAACTTGAAAATGGATCAAATAAAATAAAAATAAATCCTCCCTGGTATGTAAATGTCTCACCCATATGGAGAGCAAATTTAATCCACTTTCATTAAGTTTCATGCCGTTAGGTGCCATGTAATACAGATTTTTCAAATATTAAATACAGAGAGGCCTGTAAATTCCAGCTCAGTACTTTGTGAACTAAAGATAAGTCCAATATGTTACAAAGGCTATAGTTACCGTAGTTAGGCTCTATATAGCCGAATAGCACAGAATTTGAAGACAATTTTCAAGAAACTGAAACTCTATTTTAACTTTCATGAAAGCCCAAACCATCAAACTTTGTTCACAGTGTGGTCTTTCTTGACTTGTTCCTCCAGTATACAGTATACAGTCAGTGTAAAGAAATATGTTTGTTAGTTACCACTGCCTTAAATGCTTTTATAATGATGTGGTCTTTTAAAAAAAAATATCTTAAGATATTGGGGGTGATGCTAACTGAAGGCATGCTCTGTCTGAAGCTTTGTTAGACTTAAATATGTGCTTTATTTTAATCACAATCTCACCAGAAGGAACTGACTTAGTTGGCATTACAACAGGAGATCTGATGTTTGTTTTTTTGTTTGTTTTGTTTGTTTTGTTTTTTTTGTTTTGCTTCTCAAATAACATTATGATCAACAGTTTTTCAGTTTTGACATTTTTGTTGAAAATCAAACACCTAAACAGGACCATGAACGCTCGTATTGATCGCAGTTTCCTGAAAATGTGCTGTTTAACGTGAGTTTTCAGACAATCTAAAAACATTTCAACAGTATTTGCTAACGGGTCACCATGGTAACCGATTAACATTCTGCCATAGAAAGACATGTAGAACACCCCAGCGTCATGTCACTGCAATGTAGTAATTCTGCACTTCTGCGCGTTCAAACACACACTGGCATTTCATTGTGTAAAAACCAAAACATACAAAATGAGGTCACAACGCATGGATGCTTTTGTGAATGAAGTGAATTGTGCTAGTTTTTCGTAGCTGGGTTGAGTGAGCAATATGTCCACTTCTGTACCTTTTATATCTTAACTTTTAATGTGAGCGTGAGTAGGGGCCAGGGCAGCCTCGGGTTTAAAGGACGACTGAGTAATTTGTGCCATTAATCACTTTTTATCAGTAACTGTTCTGACGGGGGCCATTCACAGGCTTTTAGTTAAAGTCCAATGAGATCTTATCAGAGCAGAATGAAGGCCCTCCGCACTGCAGTCAGCCTAAAGAGGAAATGCTACAGTCCAGAAATACAGCTGAATCAAAGCTCAGGTTCATGGGAGGTTTTTCCAGAGACCCAATTTGCATTTTACATTCATTAAGACTGCATAGAATAAACCACTCAAGATTTAAAGGTCCTATGTTACATAAAATCAATTAT